TATATCTAAAATTTGTATGTCTAATGCAAAATCTATGATGTTTATATTCAAAATGATCATCAAATTGTAAGAATTCCAGCAATGTAAATTATATTCTGGCCGGATAATTTGTATGAATTTTATGAGCTAAATTAAAAAAAATTATACTTCACCGTGTAAAGGGGTACACCCACCGCGGAATGTGAGCATCCTGGGTTCTGGCAGGGCACCGCGTAAACGCGGAATGTGGGACCGCGTAAAGTGAGGGTTGACTGTATTAAACTTTAATAATCAAAAAATTCCATTCACGTTTACACGTACTAACACGCTGTCAGCCAAGCGTGCCTGACTAGCTGTTGGAGACACGCGTCGCGGCATCACACGCTTACAACAGACAGGAACAAACATGCATAAATTTTGTTAACAGACTTAAAGTCAGCGGAACTAAATTTAGCGGAAGCTAATTGGTCCGCTAATGGTTTCCAAAGCTAGAGAAAACGCTAATCCGCTAACGAGAAAGGTAGCTCCGCTAATTAGCGGTTTGCGGAAGCGTGCCCACCACTGAGCATAGTACAGTACTATGTACAGTCTCTCCTCGACTTACGATGAGGTTCCGTCCCGGCGACCAGGTCGTAAGTTGAAAAGGCAAAAATAATACATATAAAATTTAAAATGGGTGTCTCTTTTTCTTATCAGCACCACCAGAACTCTCACTTTTATGCTTGCCGGCCATTTTAAAGGGAATTACAAACAAAAATTTTGTCAGTACACAGTGCGATCACCAACGTCGGGACTCTAAAATATGTAATTTGAAAAATATTTTATATTACCGTGGCCGTCGTATGTCCGGGTTGTCATAAGTTGAATATGTCGTAAGTCGAGGAGAGACTGTACAGTCGACCCTCGTTAATTCGGACCCCTTTAATCCGGATTTCGGATAATTCGGACAAAATCTGAACGAACTTTTTTTTTTTTAGGAATATTACCTACGCGGACCTTAAGCTAAAATGCTGGTCCACCCACTGCTGGGATAAAACACCAGCATCTTTTTGGTTAAATGTAACATCTCCACCACTAGTGTGTGGGGGGGGGGGATGCAACTTTTAGCTTCAGACATGAAAAATATTTACCATTTACTGCCAGTAAACAATGGAAACGTAAAATATGTCCCAATTAGTAATGAAAAGTTGTGCAGTTCCTTCAGCAAATGAAGCTCACCAACTTACAATAGGCTAAATTACCTTACAACGTGTTTTCAGTAGTCTATGTTGAAGTTCTTAGCACAGGCTAACTTATCATATCATATACGGTATCACAGTACTCATTGATCTACAAAAAATACCGGTAATAAAGACCTTTCCGATATTTCACACGTAATATAATACCCGGTAATCTACTTCAACCTCCTATTGTTTACAACGACGCATGACGCACCACCAGCTGTTGAGTATCAATCAGCTAGACGGTACACGTGTTTTTCGAATCGTTTTCAGTTAAAAAACTGTTACATCACACGTATATTATACCTAAACTGCGCCTGAATGAATATATTCTCGGAAATAAATAGTAGTTTTGCTGAAACGTGATGTATTTCAATGTAAAATAGGATAAAATACATGACGAAAACAAAAGATTTTACCTTAGCTTCCGATGTTCAAGAGAAGTTATTCTTTTTTTTTAATAGTTTTTGGTTAAAATATTGTTATATTACAATGGTATTCTATTCATACTGTGCTTGATATAATACATTCACGGAAATGTAATATTTTTGCTGAAATTACAGACGTATTACAGTGGAAAGTGCGATAAAATCGTGACGAAAACAATGACTTTCGCTTTCGTTCGTTCAAGAGATGTTACCGTAATCGCTTTTCGATTGGTTTTCAGTTAAAAAACCGTTGTATTACAATAATATTCTATCCTAATTGACTTGAATAAATACTACGACACCATATTTCTGAATATTTTCATTAAAATCCATCCAAATCATTTTCCTTGTCATCATCTGCAGCACCAAACAGCTTCTCCCAGTCCTCTCCTTGAATAGGGCTACAGGGTACGTGTTTTTCGAATCGTTTTCAGTTAAAAAACTGTTACATCACACGTATATTTTACCTAAACTGCGCCTGAATGAATATATTCTCGGAAATAAATAGTAGTTCTGCTGAACCGTGATGTATTTCAATGTAAAATAGGATAAAATACATGACGAAAACAAAAGACTTTACCTAAGCTTTCGATGTTCTTGAGATGTTATTCGTTTTTTTACTAGTTTTTGGTTGAAATTCTGTTATATTACAATGATATTCTATTCATACTGTGCTTGATATAACACATTCACGGAAATGTAATATTTTTGCTGAAATTACTTACGTATTACAGTGGAAAGTGGGATAAAATCGTGACGAAAACAATGACTGAAATATAATGCGATATTAGCCCCTAAATCGGTTAATTCGGACAATCGGCTAAAACGGACACCCTTCCCCCCTATTAGTCCGAATTAACGCGGGTCGACTGTATTACTTGTACAATAGCACATATTTCATTTAAATCAAATAGCTGCTTCCACACTCCAACCATCCCCTGGGCGACTTGGCAGTCAATCACCCGACTCAAAGACGTGTGACTGCCGAGCTATGCGTATGCTATAACGTCCCACCGGGAGGGATTGTGGCCTTACAGTTTAGCCCAGTACAGTGAGTTCTGCTATAACGCGTGTTTTGATAACGCGAATTTGCTCTAACGCGATTTATGAATTAGGAACGATATTTGTATAACGCGAACGCTTGTTTGCTGTAACGCGATTTTCTCTTACTATTTCTCCAATTTTGTGGTATTAACTGTGAATATAGTAAAGAAGAATATCAACAAGAAGCGTTCTGGTGATAGAATTCCCGGTGATGATCGTAAAAGAAAGGATATAACACTTGAAGAGAAGCTCGATTTTATCAACCTCAAAATCACCCTTCTCCCCCATCAAGTAAAGTGTTACATTTACTGTATGATTTCATTATTAGATATGAATGTAACATTTATTTAGACTGTGCTATCCTTTGTGTTAGGCTAACTACTAAATTTTTTCGATTTCGAGTAATCTGCACCTAACCCTATTTTCTCCATAAGCCCTGTTATTTCTATTACGCGATTTTCTATAACACGATATTTTACAAGAACACAATTATCGCGTTATAGCAGAACTACCTGTATCTCACCGTTTCCACCCATTCACTTCCCACACACACACACTCTTGTGCTCTTCATTTTTTTATAGTTTTATATTATATCTTCTTTACTTTTAGGCCACATCATTTGTATAGAGGAATAAGTATTAAAAAAAGTCAAATTTTCTGAGACAAATTTTAAAGGTCAGCCTGTAACACTGCAATGAGGGATTTATTGGGGTCCTAAGAGTGAGATTCACCTACCAGTAAAATCTCTTTACCCGGCACCTCTGAATCCCCATAGGTGTCAGATAACGGGTTCTACGTCATATGCCGTAGACCGTAATACCCCGCCATTCGCAACTCCGCTCATTTGCAATTGATATTTTAACACCCATGTTTGATATTCACAAGGCATACCCCACTTACTCCTAATATCAAATATTAAAAATAATGATGATAAGCTGCAGTATATTTGTTTCAAACCACACACACTGGCCAAGTAGTGCTGTGGTTACCAGCTATGAAATTCTGACCCCAAGACTCAGCCAATTATGCTGTATTTATGCATCTCTCTTTTCTTCTCTTCCGATTTAATGGAATATTTCTGCTGGTAGTCGTCATTTGATTTTGTTTATTTTAGACGTGACTAAGGTTTGACGTGCAGCTGTGAGTTATTGTATTTATCGTGGGGGTGGGATTTTGTGGGTGGGGTCCGTATGTGTTTTCATAATGTGATTTTCTTTTATATAAACGATGATATTTAACCTTCGAGGAGTAGTGGAATAACTCTACACAAGCAAAATGAGGAACGTGTGGTGGAGGTGTGTGGCATCTCTGGTGGCTCAAGCTGTGCGAACGGGCTGTGCAGTTACGTGTTTATGCTGTGTAATCGTACGCTGTGCCACCCGGAAGAGTTTTGTCCGCTTTGAACTGTTGCGTTGTGTGGGTGGTAGAGTCGGTGCTATATTGCAAAAGTTTTTGTAATGCCTCTCACTGACTCACATATTATATACACACACAACCACAAAGTGTTGCAGTTATCAAAACACTGGTGTCAGTCTATGCTTATGGTAACTGAATTTTGGTGCCAGTGAGTTAAATCTGCCAGTTATCTGGACTAGGGGATTCTACCGTATATACACCATTATTTTATCTTATTTCTCATAGGAGTTAGTAACTGGCGGGAATTCAGTTTCAGAGTTGGTAACACCGTTTTTAACATCAGCTGTTGTGGTGGTGGTGGTTACAGCCAAGATACGTTGGTGTGTTGTTACAAATTATGTCTAGGATTATACTTAGTATTACTAAAAACCTAGAGTCAAATTATACAAAAGATAGGTGAAAAATTCTGGCTTTTTTTATCAAAAGTTCAGGGGTCAAACTACAGTATACGAGATCAGTTTATTCATGAGTACAGTATATACGTTAAGCAGAGAAATGTTGCCACACACTAGCCTGGACTACACTGTACACTGTTTACTGTACAGTACATGGTCAGCACAGGATGCTCTCAGATGCCTGTGTCACCAACTTAGCATTTTCCAATGTTATGAAAAATGCCATAAAATTTTTCGTAAAAGTCGGGTTTTTATTCGTATAAGGAAGCGCTGCAACATTTTTCTTTTGTATTAGGGAATTTTCATAAACTGAAGCTCTCCTGTACTGTCATTCCTGCCTGACAATGATCAGACATTAATAGTTCAAGTGTCATGAACCTATGTTACTTTATAAATAAATAAGCAACAATAAGTTACTTAAAATAATAAACAGCACCAAGTTACTTAATACACAAACAGCAGCAAATTACTTAATATATAAACAAGGTAAAGGTAAGAATGGTGGGGAAGTACTGACCTGTTTCTGGCCAAGGTTGGTGGAGGTGGTCTGGGAGGCTTCACCCTGGCCTTCTTTGGTGTATCTTCTACGCTCTCATCGGCAAGATCTTCATCGTCGCTCCAGAAGGGATTCAGATTCTTTGAGTCTTTCTTTTCATCTTTCTCTTTTTCCAACTCTTTTCCAAATTCATCATCATCATCATCACTGTCAAAGGGATTCATGTTCACCTTGATAAGTTTCCTGGCTATTTTCTGGTTATCGTCGCTCCGAGGTTCACATATCTCGGTCTTAACTGCGTCGTGGGTTGTGGCGTCTTCCTTCTGAGCCTCATCGTCACTTCCAAAGGGATTCAAATCTTGAGGATAATGGATGGACTGTAAGGAAGGGGAAGAGAAATCGCCGCCGCTGTCCTGAGAGACACACGTGACGTTGTTGTTATCGGTCTCGCTGCTGCCCTCGGACTGACTCACTGCCACCCCACTCTCGTCCTGCTGAGAATCGGCTTCATCTTCAAATGGGTTACAATCCTCGAGGGCATCTGTCTCTGGTGGTAATTCTTCAGAGTTCTCGGTTTTTGAGTCAAATTGGAAGTTCTCGGTGTCGTCGTCTTCTCTGTTCGGTTCTTCGTAAGGAATGACTTCTTGTTTTTCTGTAGTGATGGCTATGGAAGGCATGGGAGATATATCTTTGACATTTTCATCTACTTTTTCACTATTATCGTTTGTTTTTTCGGTTTTTTCTAATGAATCAACTATTTTGTCGTTATTTTCTTCATTAACACTAGGCACAGTATCTACATAAACAACCTTACTGGTAATATCCTTACTGTTTTGATCCTTGTCTGGGTCCACAGCATCAGTTTGGACTTCATCTTTAGTAACACAAATAGTTTCCTTCTTTTTATCTAACAGTAAATAATTTTGTCTTGTTCCACTTTTTCCATCAATTTTGTTAGTAATCTTCTTATCCGAAGCAACAGTATTATCGGAAATTTCCCTAAACATTTTCAACCGCTGGGCAACAATAGAAGAGGAGGTCTTGATTGCACCATTAGAAATCCTAGGAGTTGTTTGGTGTTGCCCTGTGTCCAGTGTTAGTGTTTCAGGTGGGTTTGTTTTCATACCTTTGGCTTCATCACAATGGTGTTGGTTAGAGTACCCGGTGGCTGCCACTCTGGACTCTCTCTCTCTTGATCCAAACAGAGCAGAGGAAACTTGAGAGAAATGACTGAATCTGTTGCTCGTCTTTACGTCGTCTGCGTCGAGGTTGGAGTCCTGTTTTACGTCGGGAGCCTCTAAGGTCTGTGAAAGGAAGACAGTTCGAGGCTTAAGAGGTCTTGGAGAATGTGTTAATGTGGTGTGTGTACGGTGGGTCTGGTCCTCCAACAATGTCTCGGCATCATGGCTGTAGGTGTCACTTTCTTCCTCAGAGTCTTCACTGTTTGAGTCAGAGTCAGAGTCTGTGTCAGAGGCAGATGATCGTCGCTTGTGTTTACTGGAGGGGGTGCTGGTGGCGTCGACAACTTGAGGCGACGGTTCGTGTTCTTCGTCGGGACAGGTCTCGCAGCAAAACTGTCCTTTTTCGGTCTCGTAGTAGCTCGCCAGGGTCAGCTGGGTGTCGCACCGGGCGCATCGGAAACACGTCCGGTGCATCAGCTGACCCGGAGAGCCTACCAAGAGACGCTCTGCCAAGAACACCGGGTTGTTACATCCAGCGCACACCTCACGACGAACTCGCCCACCTGCCAACACCTGCAGCATTAAGAAAGTGTGTTACCCATAAATAAAAAACTGTTTAGCCTCTCATTGTACATCTCTGATTCTGTGCAGCTGTAATTAATAACTAATAACAATAATAACTTCTTGCATATGAAAACACAATACAGGAAGTCCTTGCCATTTACAACCCCTCTTATTCGCAATTGATATTCTAACACCCATATTTGACATTCACAAAGCGAATTAGAAAAAATAACACCCAGTTGATCCTGTCTCCAGCGTATAGAAACTATTGCCAACTGTAGTGTATTTTATCTTTCGTTTTGTTTATTATTAATATTTTTATTTATTCCTAACATTTACCGTATAGTATACACACGACCCTAATTGAGTGTACTGTATATAAAAAACTATGTGGTGAAAGTTGCCGGCTGGAAATGCATCCCCAATTATTACATGGATTCTTATGGGGAAAATTACCAATATTCACAAAACTGTTATTTACACCGAGTTTTAGGAAGACATCGTCCATCATACCTGAGGTGCTCCTCTACAACAACTACATTACCAAGTAAATAATTTGAGAGACTTTATGGTAAAACAAAACAAGGCATTATGTTAGTAAATAATAACCAATAATTTTTTAACAGAGACAATTAATAATTTTTGGTGTAATGTATAAAATTAAAAATATAAATTATACATTTTGACTGTCTCATGCCTTTACCCTGGCTGACTGAAGCTTGCTTAAACGATACTACTGTAATAATGCGTTACAGTACCTCCATGGTCACTCATAACAGGTACCTCCATGGTCACTCATAACAGGTACCTCCATGGTCACTCATTACAGGTACCTCCATGGTCACTCATTACAGGTACCTCCATGGTCACTCATAACAGGTACCTCCATGGTCACTCATACCAGGTACCTCCATGGTCACTCATAACAGGTACCTCCATGGTCACTCATAACAGGTACCTCCATGGTCACTCCAATATTTACAGTTGTTTGATTGATGAGTTACATTGGTGGTACAGGTTGGCCATCCACTGGGGCCAACTGCTGTAGGTCCTCTCCTGCATCAAACAATTACTGTACAACCTTCACTGTGGCCAACACATCAGGCACACCTGTGTATATTTATTCCCCACTTATCATGTAATAGTATTTGTTATTAAATAAAGCAAAAATTAACTGTGTAATCACCACCATTAGTAGGTGGTGGGCAGCTACCAAACAGGGAGGTACTACTGCCTGGGAAGATATTGGAAGCATAATGTGTTGTCTAATGGTAGACCCTACTGCCATATGTGACCAAGTCCCAGGTTGATGATCTGACTTTCTGCCTCATTTTCACACAATTGCAGGGTTTCAATTGTTTCTCTTACTATTGACAACACAACATACATATATTGTTTCTCACTATTGATCTTTTTCTTTTCATTTTTGTATATCGTTATTATTGTTATTATTATTACTAATATTATTGTTATCATTATTATTCTATTATTTTATTTTTTTATTTGTATTATTAATTTTATTTACTGTGAATTATTATTATTATTATTACATCCCCGGGTTGGCTAATGCCTCTAAAAAGAACAGACAACACTGGTTCAGGGGCAAGTTACACCACTCTCAGTTGAGCATGATGCCAGCTGCTGTGACCAACGAGAAGATAAGTGACCACAACCACTACAGTACAGCACAGCACAGCACAGCACAGCACTGAGAAACAGAACAAGGTAAAAGCAACAACTATCACCATACATGAACAATGTTAAGCTAGACAATACAAGTGATAATACTAATGGCAGAGAGAAAACAAGAATATATGTTATGACCTTCCTGGGTGACTCATAGTGTAGCTACAACAGTGATAAACAGGATCCTTTCCCACCTACACCTGTAAGGTCGTCCCATATGCAGGTACAGTATTGGTTATTCAAGACAGAGTCACAAAGGTTAAAACTTACACTAACTGAACTTAAAAAGAGTCCTCAACCTAGCTTGAGCAACCATCATCATCTTTTCATTGGATGACTTTTTCAGATATACAGTATTGTAGGTCCAGAAATATCCTTTAGTCCCATAGATGTCTGGCAAATATTTTGGTGTTGAAAATTTTTGCATGATCTTCTCACTGTCAGCCAACACTGTAAGCCTTGCATACACTGTACATGATCTACTCAGTAACAGCCAACACTGTAAGCTCATACACTGTACACAGTGTCAGCCAACACTGTAAGCTCATACACTGTACATGATCTTCTCACTGTCAGCCAACACTGTAAGATCATACACTGTACAATAGTGTCAGCCAACACTGTAAGATCATACACTGTACATGATCTTCTCACTGTCAGCCAACACTGTAAGCTCATACACTGTACATGATCTTCTCACTGTCAGCCAACACTGTAAGATCATACACTGTACATTAGTGTCAGCCAACACTGTAAGCTCATACACTACATGATCTTCTCACTGTCAGCCAACACTGTAAGATCATACACTGTACATTAGTGTCAGCCAACACTGTAAGCTCATACACTGTACATGATCTTCTCACTGTCAGCCAACACTGTAAGCTGAGGGGCAGGATCTCTCTGGTAAGGAGTGTTACTTTATCTCACCTAAAATAGACTAACAAGAGCCAGTTTTTGTAAGACCAAAGGTCAAATTGAGTCTGTTTCATGGTAATGAGAGTAAAGAATGCACAGACACTCTGTACATGTACATGCACATACAGAGCCTCTGAGTGTACATGGTAGTCAGCTGGGAGGTAAACTCACTCAAAAATATTGTGCACCCTTAGCTCCGAAACCATCCACAACAATCACTGCGACAGAACCCGTGATGAGTGTTATAACCTCATTGGTCCGGTGCTTCATAGTGTATAACCCCATTGGTCCGGTGCTTCATAGTGTATAACCCCATTGGTCCGGTGCTTCATAGTGTATAACCCCATTGGTCCGGTGCTTCATAGTGTATAACCCCATTGGTCCGGTGCTTCATAGTGTATAACCCCATTGGTCCGGTGCTTCATAGTGTATAACCCCATTGGTCCGGTGCTTCATAGTGTATAACCCCATTAGTCCGGTGCTTCATAGTGTATAACCTCATTGGTCGGGTGCTTCATAGTGTATAACCCCATTGGTCCGGTGCTTCATAGTGTATAACCCGTAAAGGTGAAGAATAATCTTTTAGTGAGTGTACATAGTTGTCAGTTTAGGTAATTCTTAAATAAAAAAATTATGCAATGGGATGCTTGTACAGATGAATTTTCCCTTGTAGTACTGTAGGTGTTTCAGTTAGTTTTGCCTAGTGGCATCCAGGGGCCTTTCTTGTCCACCTTTCTCCTACACACTTTCATAGTCACCCACCATGGTCAGAATCTCATAAATGGAGAACTGATCGAGACTCCCGTCTTATGGCCAAGACCAGAACTGGTGACTCAGTTCCCTGGTGTATGATACGAGACAGCTAAAACTGATCCAGCTAACCCCGTTTGTAGCCAAGACAAGCAAAGGTGATGCTGCACACAAGGTCTACACACTCATTCTGTCTCTGGGAGGAACCCTTTAAAGGCTCCAATGGAGGATGCTGTTTACAAAAAACTCGCCACTATTTCTTGAGATTACTGTATAAGGATTTCGACTGAAGATTAATTCTGGCAGGAACCTGAGTCATCCACTCCAGTCTGGGTCATAACATGGAGCCTTAGAATCACTCCTCCACTTGTATACTTGTAGCCAGAAGTGAGCCAATCTACAAATTCTTACCTGAAAACAAGAATAATGAAAAACTGCACTACACAGACAAGAGCCAAGTTATGTTAGTATCAGCATTAGTTACAAACTTCCCCATAAAATGCATGGCATCTTAGTGAGGCTCACTGGTCACACTGTCAGTGCAGAGTCTCTCTCTCTCTCTCTCTCTCTCACACACACACACACACACACAGGACATTTTACATGATTTGAAACTTGGAGAAAATTTCACCGATGCTACAGAGTACGGGGAAGGGAGATGGGGAGGGGAAGGGAGATGGGGAGGGGAAGGGAGATGGGGAGGGGAAGGGAGATGGGGAGGGGAAGGGAGATGGGGAGTGGAAGAAAGCAAGATCGGGAAGGGAGACACGTGGCAACAGGAGGGACGGGAGAGACTTGGTCATGTCCAGCCCCCTCAGAGGGGAGCTCCCCGAAGGAGTAAGATGTTGTAGACGAGAGACTAGAGAAGACCCCAAAGAGGGGAAAAATTTCTTGATAGCCCTGAAGTGTCAGAAACAGGGACACAAAAGAGAAAAACAACAATGCATCCAACCCAAGATGCTGATGCAGTAAAGTAGAGAAGAAGACCCCCACATATCACGTGAGGAACAACAGAAACACAGTTGAAGTGGAGTGTGTAGAGTCATGCAGCCACAAGTGATGGAAGTATGAGGCAGGAGAACCCTCGGTCAATACTGAAGGGAGATAAAAGCATGCTTAACCTTCCAAGGTACTGTACTGTAGTGCCCTCAGCTCAGTACTAATGTAAACTTTCATTTTATTTACTCTTCAAACATCATAATACAGCGTAGTGCTGTCAAACTGCACTAATGAATGTACTGTACAGTAATAATATTTATGACTTTTTTACAGTACTGTATATGTAATCATTTTTTTAACAGAAATATTGTAAATATAAATAGAATATACTGTAACCAGTAAAAATTTTGAATTCTGTTCGTAGAAAACCATAAACTATTTAACACGAAATAGTTACCACATAACGGCTTTACAGACTGAATAAAGAGGTAAGAAAGGAACTTAAATAATTAATATGTGAGGTGAGACCTTATGTGACACTGAGCTTTGGCATGACAAGAGCCACAACGAGAGTTGTAACAGTCATCCAACAGTATCTCTTTCCTGTGTTTCTTGTAGTATAGTACAGTACCAGTCATTCCGCCCTGCTAACCTTTGAGCATGCACAGGATTGTATGGTCTTTACCTCATCAACAAAATATTTCAGGCTTGTAAAG